ACATATGCACCAGTGCTCTCCCACACATACCCTTTCATTTAGTCAGGCTGGCCCTCTCACTGTCCCCAGATAGCTTACTCACTCCTGCCTTTGCATTTTAATATCAGTATTCTTCATCCTAAACCTGGAATCTAAATTTACTCTTCCTCTTTAACAATCCCCAAAATGCCCTACCTTTGGAATTTTTTTTTTTAACTATTTCAATTTTCCCCTTTCCCATCTCCAAGTAATTATCAAGTCATAGATAGATAGACAAATAGAAAGAGGTAGATATTGTATATATAGAGATATAGCCTCCCCAACTATACTGTAAGCTACCACCATGTATATGAATTTTATGTTACAGTGTCCCATATAAATTGTGCTCAATAAATAATTAGTGATTAATTGCAGTCCTTCTTCTATGAGTTAAAGGCTAAACACACACACAAAATTAGTCTCATTCCCATGTGGGATTTCAAAACAACATGACTTGTAAGCATACTTGGTTCCTTTAAGTTTGGTAACACAGGGAAAAAATGGAGAGAATGGCTGTGCCTAAGATAGTAAGGGAATGGATTCAAGATAGAATAAAATGCTTCCTCATTACTGACAATTTGAATGCTTATCTGAAAATTGGGCACCTCCAGGATGTTGCACTCTTCCTGGCATTCAAATACAGTTCACCAAAATATTAAATTATTTTGCCTTTAGGACTTTTCTTCTCATTCTCCTTTTCTTTGAGGGAGTGGGTGTAAATATGAGAAAGAGGTTGGAAAAGACCATATACTTCTTAAAATGGAGCATAGCAGACAATAGACCAAAGAAAAAGAGAGCAAAGAAATAATAGCCAGAAATAATTGATTTTTGACAAGCATGCCAAGACAATTCAATGGGGAAAGGGAGTCTTTTCAACATATGGTGCTGAAAAAAACAGATATTCCCACCCACAAAATAATGAAATTGGACCTATACCTTACACCATATACAAAAATTAACTCAGAATGATTCAAAGACCTAAACTTAAGAGCAAAAACTCTTAGAAGAAAACAAAGAAAAATCTTCATGACATTGGATTTGACAATGATTTCTAGAATATGACACCAAAAGCACAGACAACACCAGAAAAAATAGGTAATTTGGACTTCAAAATTAAAAACTTTTGTGCATCAAAGGACACTGTAAGAGAGTGAAAAGACAATCCACAGAATGCAAGAAAATATATGCAAATCATAAATCTGATAAGGGATTAATATTCAGAACATAAAAAGAATTCCTATAACTTAAACAAAAACAAAAGCACCCAAAAATCCCAATTCAAAAATGGATAAACAACTTGAATAGACATTTCTCCAAAAAAGATATGGTCAATAAGCACATTAAAAGATACTCAACATTATTAGTCATTAAGGAAATGCAAATGAAAACTACAATGACATACCACTTCTTGCCCATTAGGATGACTATTGTAAAAAAGGAAGAAAGCAAAGTGCTGGCGAGGATATAGAGAAATTGGAAACCTCCTTAGAATTGGAAGCTGGGCCCTGGCTGGGTGGCTCTGTTGATTGGAGCATTGTCCTGTGCATCAAAAGGTTGCAGGTTTGATTCCTGGTCAGGATGCAACCAATTGTTCTCTCTCTCTCTCTCTCTCTCTCTCTCTCTCTCTCTCTTTTTGGAGTTTCCTCAAAAAGTTAAAAATGGAACTCCCATTTGACCCAGTGATCCCACTTCTAGAAATATATCTCAAGAAAACAGAAACACCAATCAGAACGGATATATGCATCCCTATGTTCATAGCAGCACAATTTACAATAGCTAAGATTTGGAAACAGCCTAAGTGCCCATCAGCAGATGAGTGGATTAAAAAACAGTGGTACATCTACATAATGGAATACTATGCTGCTATAAAAAAGAAGGAACTTTTACCATTTGCAACAGCATGGATGGAACTGGAGAGTGTTATGCTAAGCGAAATAAGCCAGTCGGAGAAAGATAAATATCACACGATCTCACTCATATGTGGGATATAATGATCAACATAATTTGATGAACAAGAATAGATCCAGAGACAAATGGTAGCGGGGGGAGGGGGGTTAGAGAGCAACCAAAGAACGTGTATGCATGCATATTAGCATAACCAATGGACACAGACACTAGGGCGGTGGGGGCTTGCCTGGGGTGGGAATGGCTAGGCGAGGGGTCAATTGGGGGAAAAGGAGACATATGTAAAACTTTAGATAATAAAAAAAATTAAAATTAAAAAAGGAAAAATTATTCAGCCTTAAAAAGGAGGGAAATTCTGATACATGCTGCAACGTGGATGAAACTTGAATACATTATACTAACTGAAATAAGCCAGACACAAAACATCAAATTCTACTTATATGAGGTGCCTACAATAGGCAAATTCATAGACAGAAAGTAGAATGTTGGTTGCCAGGAGCTGGGGGATATTGAAATGGGGGGTTATTCTTTAATGGATATGGAATTTCTGTTTGGGATGACAAAAAACATTCTGGAAATAGCGGTAGTAGTATGATTGTACAACATTATTAATGTACCTAATTATACCACTGAATTATATACTTAAACGTGGTTAAAACGTAAATTTTGTGATACAGATATTTTACCACAACAATTTTAAAAAAAGGAAATAGAATCTGAATCCAATCACGAGGAAATAATCAGATAAATCCAAATTGTGGGTCGTTCTCCAAAACAACTGATCTGCAGTCTTCACAAACGTCAAGATGAGGAAAGAACAAAAGTGGTGATTAGAGTACTGTTATAGAGTAAAAGAGATTTAAGAGACAGGACACCCAAATACAGTGACTAATCTTTGATTTTATTTCAATTTTTAAAAAGGAGAAGAGTCTAGAGAGCATTGTTGTGTAGATAATTGGGAAAAGTGAATATGAACTGTATATCAATGTTCAATTTCTTCCAAGGTAGGAAATTACCACTCTGAGAAGATATATGTTGAAGTTTTTAGATATATGTAGACATTATACCTAATGTCTACAAATGACTTTCAAATAGGTTGGATAGGGTGGGAATGTATAATCGAAAGATACAGTAAATAAATATAGCAATATTGATGAATGTAGGTGAAGAGTTTAAAGACATTGTACTAGTCTTTCTGTTCTTCTGGATTGGAAAATAAAAAGCTAGAGGAAAAAAATGGAATCGTCATTTTGGTTCTCAAGTGATCAGGGGAACACTGACTTCCTGTGACCTCTGTGAGCAAAATGTTGATCTGTTTGCCACCTTGGGACATCCTGTTTTACTGAACTCACACTCCAGGGTTGCCAGAAGGAACTGAGAGCTGATTACTTGGAGGTGATTTGGGTGAGGCATATTGTCTATGCCACTTCAGGATCTACTGTGTTGTGTTCTTGTGTGTGTCAAAGTTTTAAGCCCCCCAAGGTTAGGGTCATGTCTCACTTTTCTTATAATCCTCCCTCCCCCAACATCCTAATCCCATGCTTTATACAGAGCTAAATACATAGTAAGTGTCCAGTAAATATTTTTCCATTATTGACTATCCCATCAGTATAGAAAGGCATGTATAGAAGTATAAGAGGTCAAGGATGGGGTCAAAAGGTTTATCTCCAACTAAGGTATTAAAATGCTCCGGGGTAGGGCCTTGCAGAAGGAATGTCAAGTGTGGGCTTTGACACAATCTAATTCTCTATGGCAACCAGGTGTTACTGACTTAGGTGGTGACTAGTACTGAGGGGTGGAGTAAAAGAAACACAGCTTTGGCAAAAGCTTATGAATACCTAAGCACAGAATGTTCCCAGCTTGGCCCTATGGTACAACTGCTCTCACAACCCTGTGAATTCTTCCCAAGGAAGCAAGGTCAAACAATGGTCTGTGGACCTCAAAAAAGAGAGCACCCATTTTGGCTCCTTGAGCAGAGTCACTATGCTTTGAGGGATCTGCACCAGTTGGGATTCAGGGAGAACAACACCAGCCTTTACCAGAAGATGGAGGTGTGAACACTCTCCAGCACAGCTCTAGAAGGAAGGTGCTGCCCACGTGCTTAGCAAGTTGCAGAACACGTAGGCCTGCAGCATTCCACCTCCAGCTGAGACACCAGTGTGCTGCTGTGTTGCAGCTTGTTAAGGGAGTGTAGACTTGTCCTTCTTGTCTTGAGCAATTTTTCAAGAGGCTGGAAGAATTAATGGGCAAATTTGTTCTGTCTCAGACAGGCCTTCCAGGATGCAGGTCCTCAGCTCCATTGTTATATACAATGTGTTATTTCCTATTAAATCACTAGCATTGACACTTAGTTTTAAATTCAATTTACTATTTTATTACATACCTTCTTGTACTGGTCTCAGATTATTTCATTTAAGTTCCAAATCCCCCCACAAAGTTGCAAGCTTCTTAGGGAACCATGCTCTCTGCTGCTTTGCCACCTCTGTTTCCTCCCACATCCTGTACTGTACACAATCACTATAAGGGATGTGTAAATAATCTACTGTATATCCATATTATGTAATACTATGTAGCAGTTAAAAGAACGAGG